CTCTTAATCAAATGTATGAACAGGTGTGTTTTTAACCTTGTTGAGGAGAGGCAGGTAGTTTTTGACAGAACCGATTTTTTCCAAAGCTTCCCTGAGATCATTGGCCTCACTTGGTGAGATATTCTTGATGTAGATTACTGTTGATCCATCATCAGTTGTCTGCTGCTTTAAGAAGAGCCAGCAAACATTCAAACAAACACAAAGAGTTTCTTTTTGTTTGTTCATTTGATATTTTATATTTACAAATCCATGTATAATTTGGGGGGGTAAAGTTACTTACATAATTCACCAGATTCATCAGGGTGCTATAAAACCCAAGCTGAAACATGAATGTAAGAGAACACAGCGTTAAAGGCACTACGCTCTACGGCAAGACATTTCTTACTCTCTTATTTAATTTTGGGTAGTATCATTTCAAACATTTATTGTATGTTAGGTGGTACTTATAAGGCACTTCAGTCTGGAGGGTTTTCTTTTTTCCTTGATACAAATTTAGCAATTTGTGGCGTAGCACAGCAAAAGGCAGCGAAAGACTAATTTATCTAGTTGCATCATCAATAAATCATAATAATGATTCAAAGGACAGACAGTTTGATATTTTCAAGTTAAAAACTTGTAGCAAGGAAATCAAGATAGATAAAAACTTTTTGCTAATGTTAACCAAGAAGCTTTGAAGTTTGAGGCAACATAAAATATTTTAAAAAAAGAAAATGTTAAGGCCTTAGTATGGTATTTACATGCTCTATTACATTTAAATAATCTAAAAATTCAATTAATAAAAAACCTACTTTAAACAATATTTTAAAGTTATTTAGTTAATTACCATCCTCTCAGTGCCTTATTTACTCATCTACAGGGATCAACAAGATTGTGCACTAGAAGCACGGCAATTTTTTCCAAACATGCCACAATATACAGTATTTTTGTATTAGTACGTACCGGATTCATTGGAAAGGAGTGGATTAAAAAATCCAAACAAAGTGTGGACCCATTGAGAATAATACTCTTCTCTTTTGACGCTTGAAAAAGCTTTTTTGCCTTCATCAGACTTGGCGCAATGGCAAAAGCCTAGAAGGAAAAGTCACATTTGTTATTATTCTAATTATTCACTGTGCACTGTGTACTGTACTTGTGTGTATTTGTGTACTGTGTTGGTGTACACAAATACACACAAGAAAATGTAGGCTGACCTTACATAAAGAAACCAAAGAGAGACTTAGAAATATACCTGTGGGATTACTGAGTAATGCAGATTTATAACTTGGTACCTACCATACGCATTTGAGGAATAACATAGATGTCATCTTCTAGATATCCAAATTCAAATAGGGTGAGCTGATTGGCAACGTCCACCTCTGTGTAGCAGCTATTTTCATATTCTGGCAGGTTTGTGATCAACACCACCTTCATTTTAAACAGGAGGGGAAAAGGAGAAATTAGAAGTTAAGATTCAGGAAAGTGAACTTACCCAAACTATTAAGCAGAATGCAACACAGGAGACAAAAGTATGATGACTATCTTGTAAAAAGAAATGTGAAATGCCAAAAGCACCACTTTATTTCTTAAAAACAACAACAACAAAAAAACACGTTATGCATTTGTTGACTAAATTTCCAAATTATCTTTACAAAAGTGGAAAAACATTTGTAATTTTTAAAGACATACAGATAACACTATTACTTTTGCTATACATTTATAAAGGATGTTTTACTAGATTTTTATTATTCTTTTTGCTACAACTAAAACTGAGAGATAGGTTATTTATACCTTTAAGAAAAAGAAGAAGAAAAAAAAACTTACCTTTGACGGCAATGCTTTATTATTTTTGAAACAATCTGCGAGGTAGAGTGAACATAAAAACGGTTCAATAAATGGGAGTTTTGATCCAAAAAACCAAATAATGACTCACAGACAGGCTTCTGTCATTACTTACTCAGGCAATTTCTATCCATGAGCTTTTCTATCTTCTCCCCAAAAGTCAGGTTGCTAAAACTTTGCTGTTGCTTGCCTGCTGTTGCAGCTGTTGGCTCAGTTTTGGAAGATGCAGCTACTGCAGTCGACACTGCTAAAACATTGCTGACAGTTTTTGACGGGTCCTTTTGACTTGTCACAGCAATCACAAGATCTTAAAAAGGATGAGAAGTTTTATTCAGATAGATTGCAGTATTTTGAAAAAGAATTTTAGAAGCAAACCTCATGAACATGTCCACAGGCAGACATAAACTAAAGAAATGACAGCAAACTCAGTAGGAATGTGTTCATAGAAATGCATTGAGTCCTGTGAAAACTATTTTTCAACATGAGTGTATGTTTTTTCATTATCAGTAACAAAGACAACCTGTATTTTGTGTCTCCAACAACACTGTCCTACATATTCCATGCAATACTAAAGTCACAACTAATAATGCTAATAATGGTGCCTAACTGTTACCTTACTTATTCCTCAAATATAGAGTTTCAGTTTCACAAGCTTAATGGTATCAAACATACCTTTTTGCTGTGCGACTGTGTTCACACTCTGAACCGCCTGCTTTGCCTCCAGAGCAGCTTCAGTTGAACTTCCTGACATTTGCAAGGTTTTTTGTCCTAGTGCAGTTGTGGACTCTGGATCTGGCATCACACTCTGTTGGATCTGTGATGAGGATGGCATTTTTATAGTTTTCTGTGGTGTCTTTAGTGGTGTCTTTAATGGGGTCGAAGGTTTGGGTAGAGATGCATTTAGTATGGTGTCAGCTGTATCAATTGAAGGTTGATTCTCCTTGGATTTGGTTGCTAGGGCCTTTTTACATGCTCCAATCTCCAGTGATTCAGCACGTTTGGTATCTTTTGCATCTACATCAACACTGGTAGATTCTACTGGGTGCTTTGTTTCAGAAGCTGCTCCATTTCTTGTTTCAAGAACCTTGGTTGTGTTTTCAAGCACTGTTGCAGATTTTTGAATCTCCAAAGTTTCTGTGTTTTTGACAATGGTCTGTGTCGTATCAGTAGAGCTTTCAAATTCCATGGACTCTGTCCCTTTTGTTTTTCCAGATTCTAGTGATTCACTGTGTTTGGCCTCTTTTGTCTCAGCTCTGGTCTGCAGTCTCTGAGGGTGATCAATTGTTGGTGTGGTCTTGGTTGTACTGGCTGGTGTCTGACCCTCACTTGATTTGGCTAGTAAGGCCTTTTTCTCAGCAAAATGTTCGACTTCCATTGCCTCGTCCACATCATTTTTGGCAGATCCAGAATCTTGAACCTTTGTATCCTCAAAGCAATCCTCAGTGTGTTTGAGCTCTTTTGTCTCAACTTTCAACAATTTTGCCTGCTGCTGTGTTTCAGAAACTGATACATTTTTTGTCTCAGGAATCTTGGTTTTCTTTTCGGGAACTATTCCAGATTCTTGAACCTTTGAATTCTTGTAGGATTCTGTTTTTTTTATGGTAGTCTGTGTTCTATGAGGTGTATCAATCGGATATTTTGTTGGAGATACATCTAGTGTAATCTCAGTTGTGCTGGTTGGTGTCTGATCCTTATTGGATTCGGTTAGTTCAGTTGTTCTGTCAGTAAAATGTTCTGTGGGCTCTGTCACTTTTTTATTCCCAGAATCAAGTGGTTCAGTATGACTGGCCTCTTTTGTCTCAGCTTTTGCTAATTCTGTCTGCTGCTTCATTTCAGAAGCAGACACATTTCTTGCTCTGTCTTCCGGCATAACTGCAGATTCTTGAACATTTGTATCACTTTTGGGAGTCTTGAAGGTCTCATTAGGCTTATTTTCTGAAGCTTTAGGTTTGGGTGGAACATTTGTGGCATGAACTGTGTCCAACATGCCTTTTTGCTGCTCTTGACCCTTTTCGATCCTTTCAGGTGTCTGCTTTGTATCCAAAGCAGCTTGAGCTGAGCTCCCTAAAGTCTGTGGTGGTGTTTGTCCTATTTCAGAGGACTCTGGTTCTCGTAAGCATTTGCTACCGGAAAAACTTTCAACTTCCATGGGCTCTACGACTTTTGTATTCACAGACTCTAATAGTTCAGTGTGTTTGACCTCTTTTTCCTTCTGATTAGCTTTTTCATCAGCCTGGTTCTTTGTTTCAGAAGCTGTTGCATTTCTTGTTTCAAGTACCTTGGTTGTCTCCTCACTCACCACTGTTGGCTGCTGAAACTTTATTTCCATTTCTGGTGGCTTTAAAGTCTCTCCACCAGGCTTATCCTCTGAAGTTTTAGATTGAACATTAGTGCCCTTTACAGTAATTTCTTCCACATTTAATGTTGTTGAAGTTCCTGTTGCAGCCAATTGTTGTAATTGACTTTGAGGTTTGTCCATAGTTGAGGCTGTTTGTGCTTGGGCAACTAAGACCTTTGCACGAGTGACAATTGCAGTTCCTTTAATTGGATTCACAGTCTTTTTTGACAATTGGACCACCTTGACTGTATCTTTAGATGCAACTGCAGAGTTTTTAGCATTGCTTTCAGATCTTTTGAGGGCAGGTCTTTGTTTTGAGATGGCATCACCCTGCTGCTTTCCTGAACTTTTGGAATCATTACAACCTTTAAGATTTGAAGCATCTTTCTTCTCTTCAACAACATTTACAGCTCCTTTTGCAGCTACTTTGCCTTGCTTTATGGTTTTGGATATCGGTTTTGTTGAGACACTTTTTGCTTTGGAAACCAAAACTTTTGCTTTAGTAACAAGTTTGCCTGTTGTATTTTTTTTGTCTCCAGATGACAAAGACAACGGCTTTTTAAAAGAATTTCCAGTTGAAACGGATTTAGTTGACTTGACAATTTTTCTGTGAAGAAAAGATTTTAATAAGTGCAAATGACAGGAACAAAGAGAATCTCAATCGAAATGAAGGTCTGAATGTCAAGCATATCTTACTTCTGTGGAAGCTTCTGTTGTTTTTTGGTAAAGGTTGGAAGAGGCTTCTTTGTAACAGTGTTCTGTAAACAGATTTAGTTTGAATAAACATGAAAAAGTATAATATATTAAATTACATAATAAAATTTGTAAAAGAAATACAGTATAATGATGCTACAGCAATACATTCCAAGTTTTGACAGTTTGACCATAATTAAAAAACAACTCAGAAAAGGTACAATACCTGTTCTCTGACAACAGTGACTGGTATTGTTTTTATGTCGATGCTCTTTAACTTTTTCAGTTTTTGAGCATCTTCTTCTTTCATGAAATTCACTTTTGCCTAAATGTGCAAATAAACACACAAAGGGAAATCATTGTGATTATTTCAACCATCTAGACTATGTCCCCACTATATTCACAAACTAAAGGTTAGATTTACCATGTGGGGCAAATTAGCCAGAGACCACATTCACTACCAAGACCAGCACAAAACAGTGGTTCAAAAACAAGCAGACATAACGGCAATCAACTAAACTAAATTTTAATTAGGTATAGGTTGTTTTTTTTGTTTTTTTGTTTTTAAATCTTCTCTTCTAAAACAGCACTTCAAATCATGTAATGGCATGTTTTTTTTAAACAAGCGTGAACTGTCAAATATTGCTCATAAAAAAAGATCTTTTGGGATGAAAAGCATGTTTTGTTGCTTGGATAATCCCTAACCAAACAGCAAAGCAATAACCAAAAACAGAACAAGGGCACTTCTATACATATTTATGTAACTCAGAGT